GGCTTGGGCAGCGAGTGGCGTTGGCGCGCGTTTTTATCATGTCACGACGTTATCGTATCAAATAATAACGGTGACGGCGTGTATAGTTTTTATTGCCGAGTTTGTACTTTCCTTAAATTAAACGTAAAATTATTATTATTATTATTAATTACACTGTTGTTCATTGTCATACGTGGTTTTTTATTCAATAGTGTTTCCCGGTGTGTCAAACGTTATCATATATATAATAATAAAAATTAAAAACGGCGAACGGCGTGTTTTGTTTTTTTTGGTGAATTTTTGTCTTTGTAGTTTGTTATATTATATACATACAATTATATGTAAATCGTATAATAGTTATTATTAATTACATATTTGTCCGTAATTCGCTCACGGTTTTCGTTCAAGAGAAATCGACGTGTTTCCCGGTGTGCAAACATTACCTATTAATATGCGTCGTTGGATGTCGGTACGTTTTTTAGATTTAGAATATATATAATAATATATAGTATAGTAGTATATTACATTTCGCTTAAACCAAATTATCAAATTAATTAGATATACAAAATTCTTATCTTTTTCAAACCGCTGTGTGTGGTGATAACGATACATTTCATATTTTTTGTTGAAAAATTTGTTGACATATACATCTACTATTTATTTTCAATTAAATAACTTACTGACTTATTTTATATATATGTAAATTATTTGTTTTAGGCCAATACTATAGTGAAATCATAACTGACGCGTGTCCGTTTAGAAGATTGATTGCTACTTCTATCTACTCTGTCTTTAATTAATACAATAAGTAGTCATTATTGTTACCATTGGTTACAGACTGTTATCCTATGCCGTCACCGATTAATTTGTCTGCGGCCAACAGAAAACTTACGCCGTAGAAGTTCATTTTTTGTTATTTATGAAGTATTTTTTAATAATTAGTGCCTATCTAATCTCTATACTCAACCCTAATTTAAATTGACAGTTTTTTTTTTCATTATACAGTGTCTTAACCGACTTCTCTTAACGCTTTAGTTTCTTAACGTGCACACACATACGATACTGATGTCCAAATGATTAAGACATTAATTATTTCAATTTTTTTTGTTAAAGCTGTACAATTGTGATCACTACATAGAATAAAAATTATTTTAGTTTTTTTATATATTTTTTTTTAATGATATATTATTTCACGTTAAATTGGCATTATTTGAATATATTTTAATTATTTCATTTAGTAGGATGATTTACCTATATAAATATGTATGATCACTATCGAGTACTATCACTAACCGTTTGGGGTTTTTAAAATTTGTGTTTTGACTTAACTTGTGGTTTTAATATTTTAACTTTGGAAAATTCAGACATTGTAGGTAAGCTATGTGTAAATCAACAATTCAAGCTAAGAAAATTCTTTGAAATTGACAAACATACAACTTTATTTTTTTTAATCATGTATCTGATTTCACTTTCCAGATAATTTTTTTTTAGGAAGTATTATTGTAAATTATTTAGTAGAAAAACATTTATTTACCTATCTAAAATAACATAATACATGGATTAATTAAAAAAAAGTTTATTGTTGTTAAAATAATAATATATATATAATGAAAAATATTTTTTTAAATAATAATAATAGTATATTTGATGCACTGAATAAAAATTGTTCAGATCTAAAAACAATCGATTTTTAGTTTTATACACCTGGGGCTACTTTTGTGTGCTTAAAATTTATATACATTATTGACATAAAATATCTATGTGTTAATTCCGCTCTAATAAAAAATAACTATATTACATGATCTAATTTATTTTAATCACATTATACATAGTAACATCTTATGCTATCTAATCATTCCAGTTTTTACTCCCTGGCTTTATAATACTTATTTAACCAACGAATAAATGCATTTTTACACAGTCTTATAATAAAAAATTATAGGTATGTTTTTTAAAAACATCAGCAAAAGTCCCTATATCATCTTTTTAAATTCTTAAAACAGTTGTCTTTAGATTATTTTAGCGTTCAACATTTTGTGTTCTAGACCGTTTTTATGAGTAGTAATCAAAAATCAAAAAAATTGTCTGAACATTTATTTTTACTAACTATTTAATGTTAATTTTTTATATTATATGTATGTATATATATATTTTTTTTTTGAGCTGCTGTTGATATAGCTTGAACTAAATTAGATACTTATTAATATTGACTATTTTGGTTTTTTTTTGTGGTGTGATTTCAGACATAGGGCGTAATTAAAACATAAAAATAAAATATTAATTTCAAATCATTTTATTGCATTTTAACATTTTGAAGCATGGTGGTATAAGTAATATACCACTTTTTCAAAAAATAGCCTACTCTCGCACAGTGGTATACCTTCATAATCATGTTCAGAGAAAATCGGAGAAAAAAATGCTGTGCTTCAAAGGGTTAAAATTTATATTGAAAATCAACATTTAATTTACTATTTTATTATTTATAGAAGTATAATATAAGTATTCGCTCCACCCTAAAAAAGTATAGTAAATCTATAGATTTTGCTATATTTTTTTAAATTGATACTACATAATGAAAAATAAAATTATTTTAAAATTTTTGATTATTATCATTTAGTAGGATGAATTGTTGGTTAGCCATCTAAAAATACATCAACATATGGTTTTATACCTTTCATGGTTTACTTAAAAAAGTATTAATGTATATATCAATTTATCTATTATGTATAAAATATGTCTGGATAAGTATCAAATAATTTAGGTATTTTATGCACTGAATATTATTATTATTATTATCATTTTGTACCCTGACCGTTTTTATAATCACCGCCGGACACTCGAATAATCAAAAATATTTGCTACAAATTATTTCAGACATTTCATTCATGTTTTGTACTCTTGAGTTCCCAAGTAACCGTCACACAAACATATCATTCTTCCACACTTTTAAACTTCTAATAACCAACAAACGTCAGACCTTAAGTATCAAAGTACCTTTAGCATTAAAGGTCCAGATCCAAAAACTAAAAGATTTGCATCGAGACATTTCATTTAACCTCTCTTTGGACATTTTTATAAGCTCTGCCAAATAGTCGATCAATAATAATGTATTTATCACTCTTCACTTCTTTCCCTTTTAAGTTTTAATATGAACTAGACATTTCATTCATGTGATTTACTCTTGAATTCTTAAACACTTATGAACTTCTGTTAAACCACCAGACCTTTAATATACATATTTAATGCATTATGCTGTTGGTTACATTCTAAACGTACAGTACGTCATTACCGAATAATGGCATAGACGGTGATTTCTGAACAAATAAGGATTTTAATTCAACCAATATCTAGACATATAACGTATACGTTTGAAAAAGTTTTGTTGCACATAGGAACACCATATCAGACATATACAGACTGACCTCTAAACATTTTTTTCTATTTTGAACCATAGCTATTACCAAGCCCGTGAAGTAAACAACACCTCAAACAATTCAAATTAAAAAAAAAAAAATTGTCCTTTAAGCAAGCAGCACACTCGCTTTAGTAGTAGGACGTTTCTGATCTGACAGGTAGCTAGACTTGCACTACAGTTAACCGGTACTTAGCTTGCAAAACACTTTTCCGAAACTAAGTATGAACTATGATTACTGGATAAAGGTACGATGAATTATAACGGTATACTTTAAAACGTAGTGAGCTGACTCGACACCGTGGCCGGCGTAGCCGGGCACCCCCCTCGGAACCGCTGTGTACAGACATATAACATACTACGTTTAAACAAATTTTGTTTCACAAAGGTAAACCTTAACAGACATTTAGCTGACTGTCCTCTAGACATTTTTATCTGTTTTCAACTCATAAAATTAAGCGGGATGACGCCGGCCTATATTGATGACGTGGTCTATAATATAACAACTTTTACCAAAGACAATTTCCATTGTACACTTTTTCCCAATGGCCAGCTTCTTATCAAGCCTCTTTAACTTTTTAAAATTTTAATTTAAACTTAATTTTAAACCTGTTACCTCCTCATAGACTGTAGCCTACAAACCTAGGATATTTTTAGTTGGCGGAGCGAAGCGACGGCGCCAAGCGAGCGAATGTCAAAACACTCGGAGACCTGCCGTCCTTATCAGTTTTCAATACGAATTCCGCCCGCTGATAAGGAACTGGACATTGGTAGTTCATAAAAATTGGTAAAAGTGGTAACAACCCAAGTAAGCAACACCGGACACTTGATATTTATTAACCGTCTAACTTCTAGACTATTCTTTTCAATTTAAAATTTAAAAAAATTACCGATACATAGCTAGACTTACTCTACACTTAATCAGTACTTAGCTTGCAAAATATTTGTCCATAACTAGGTATGAATTCTGATTACTAGATACAGCCTATAGGTACCATGAATTATAACGTCATTCCTTTAAGACGTATTGCGATGGCTCGACACCGTGGCCGGCGCAGCCGGGCACCCCCCTAGGAACCGCTGTGCACTGACTTCCACATACCGTGGCCGGCGCAGCCGGGCACCCCCCTCGGAATCTGTGACCTCCCCGAAAATACTTTGCAGCGAGGGGACGTGAGCGTGCCCGGCGTAGCCGGGTACAGTACCGGGAATCTGTGACCTACCCGCCCGACTCGGGGGCCTGGGGGCGGAGCCCCCAGCTAGAGCGAAGCTCTAGTATAGCAATTAATATAAATGTTTACCATATCAAAACCAACTATTTATCCTTTTTTTATACGCATAGTTTCATTTCTTTGCAGTATTTTTGCAAGAATATTTGTGGGGTGGTGAACTTTTATTTTTGACATAAAATGGTCAACATATTGTGTGCCAACAACGATTTGACCAAAAACCCGGCAAGAGCAGGTTGGGATATTTTAGTTTTTCGGTGTTGGCCACTCTGATTGAAATCAAAACGAATGTTATCATAAACGGCCTATCGCGCTTATCTAATAAGTAATCAAATTTTGAACCGTCTACTGATAACAAAAACTGTGTATTTACTGTTTTTCACGTGGTCTTATAACTTATTGCAATGTAACAATTGGCCATGTATTAAAACTGTTCGCGTTGAGTATATTAAACTGTTTGTGCTGATTTTTGTAAAAACAGATTACGCATATATTTAAATATATATATATATATCTTAAGTATCTGTAATATTATTATTTTATAATCTAAATTTTTTTTTTTGTACCGACATGGCTAATAGTTCTTCGGATCCAGACAGCGACGTAGCAAGCGAGGATGAATACGATCAACTGTATTCGGATTCCGATGCCGACGACGATCTGCCCAAATGGTACGAAAGCTTGCCGTCTTTCAGCACTGGCACGAAGTTGTCCGAACCGGAAGTACAAGCTCTGCGGTTCGAAGCGGAAAAAGTCTTGGAGCACCAACCGAAGCCCGATCACAAAAAGTCATGGATCGCCGAGATAGCCAAGCAAGGTACGTACTCCGATAAAATTGCCGCACTCACCATAAAAATACAAGAAGACCCGTTCCACAATGTCGCCGCTTTACAGAATCTAGTTAACATGGTGAAAATCGGCAAAAAGCAGCAGTGTACGCTCGTCATCGATTCCTTGACGGAACTTTTCACACGAGTGTTGTTGAAAACGGAACTGGTGACTTTTGAAAATCAACCATTGAGTGAGTTATCCAAACTGGACGATTTGAAACAACGGAAACAACTGCTTTGCGCTTGGTTGTTTGAAGAAAAGCTAAAACATTTGTATGCCGCTTTCATCGATGCTTTAAGCGCCGTAGGACTAGATTCCGTACCGGTCAACCGAGAGAAAAGTATATCTGCAATGTATAAACTGTTGGTGAACAGCTCTGAATGTGAATTGCAGATAGTCAGGTACCTTGTTAATAAATTTGGCGATACCGTTCATAAAGTCGCATCAAAAGCCATGTACACACTTCGACTGGTTGTCAAACACCGTCCAAACCTTAATCTTCCCGTATTTGAAGAGGTGAGAAAACTGCTGTTTCGGACTAACATCAAACCAAGAGCCCAATATTACGGTATTTGTTTTTTAACTCAAATTGACACAAAAGAAATGGCAAAAGAAGTAATAGAATTGTATTTATCGTTCTTTAGAGCGTGCGTTAAGACCGGAGCTATCGATTCACGTCTTATCGGTGCTTTGTTAGTTGGTGTTAACAAATCGTATCCACATGTAAAAAGCGGTATACAAGTAGAACAAATACAAACCATGTACAAAATCGTTCATTTGGCGCCATTTAATATATCTCTACAAGCTTTGCTTCTAATTAGGCAGTTAGAAAATAACGACAGATTCTACAGTGCGTTGTACAGAAAAATATTTGATGATCGGATAATTTCCACATCGCATCAAGCTATTTGCATACATTTAATTCACAAATCGATATGGGACGACAATTGCAAAGAGCGAATGATTGCGTTTATGAAGCGTATATTCCAAATGTGCTTGTATTGTCCGGTTCCGTTTGTTTGTGGAATATTTTGTATGACGTCGCGATTGATGAAAAAACATCAAGGCATCATTGGAAAATCAAAGTTTGAAGAAATAAAAACTGAAGTTATTCCAGAACCAGTTGTGTTGAACAAAGAAATTAAAGAAGAAGAAGACGAAGAAGAAAAATATTTCGACGTACAAACAAACATAGTAAATTCAAATCAAGAATCGCAGTCGTCTTCTTGGTATCACAAAAAAGCACCACAAGAAAAAAACGAAACCGAAATTCCCAAAGTACCAAAGGTGAGGGAAACGTTGAATTTTTATGATTATACTGCCAGGAATCCAAGGTATGCAGGTGGTGAACACGCTATTTTATCTGAATTAATTACGCTAAACCGTCATTATCATCCTACAGTTGCTACTTTTGCGTCTAGAGTTATAGCCGGTAAATCCATTTACTACGATGGCAATCCTTTGGCCGACTTCACCATCTTGCATTTTCTAGATCGTTTTTCTTTTAAAAACCCTAAAAAGCCAAGAGAAAGGGACGATAAGGAAGAACTATTCAGATCGGTCGGCACATCCAAAAAACATTATGTGCCTAAAGGTTTGAAAAGTATGTCCGTAGTCAGTGAAGAATATTTGAGACACGAAGAGAAGCAAATACCTTTAGACGAAGTGTTCTTGTACAAGTATCTAAAGCAGAGGCCTAAAAATGGCAAAAAAGAAGAAGAGGATCGTGACGAAGACGGCTTTAGCGATGTCGACAGTGTTAACAGTGAAGATTTTAATGAACTCTTGGATAACATGATGGGTGGAAAAAAGAAAAAGAAGTACGATTTCTCACGCGGTTTTGAGAAAAAAAATAAATCCAAAAAAAAGCAACAACCCGTTGATGATGAATCTGAAAGCGACGACAACGATGACGATTTTGTAGCACCAAAAAAATCAAAGAGCCTAGCCGACCTAGCTGTGCCGGCCGAGAAATTTGCTGCCATGTTAGACGCAGCCGGTAAAAAGAAATCTGGAGGTAAAGACGATATTTTGGTTAGGGACAATGCATCGGCCAAACAGTTAGAGTGGGAAAAAAAGAAATTCAGTGGGAAGAAACGTAAACGACTAGACGATGGAAGGAAAAATAGAAAACGCAATCGTAATTAATAGCGGTTTTACTATATTGTAATAAAAAAAAAAATAATAAAACAAAGAAAGACAATAATATTTTGTTGTATTGTTGGATATTATTTTATCAATGTACATTTTTTTTTTTTTTTTATTAGATAATTACAATTATCTATGAATATTGACATAATAAAAAAAAAGTTTTCTGGTGTTTCATCGATAAGTTTTATTTTAAAAGTATTATGAAATATTTGTGCGGTCATATATACTCGAGTCCAAAAAATAAAAAAACGTTACAATAATACAATTCAATATTTCTAGGAAATTATCTTTAGAATTCACATTTGCGCTTTGAATTTGTGCTTGTCGTTTTATAGTACTGCGACTCCAGCTTCGCTTCTGGATTCTGGGAGCGGAGGCAAGCCTTCCCACTGAGACGTTGAACTGTTGTACCTTTCCACTGTAGATATAGTTATTTGCGATCTGTACGAGTTTATAGTATGTGTTATGTCGCCACCAATTACGTAGAGCATGCCATCCGCAGCAGCTACAGCTGGACTAGCACGTTTTTCCTTCATAGGCGACACAAAGCTCCAAGTGTTCTGATGGGAATTTTTTTTTTAAATAAGTTATTCGACGCATAAGTTAATCGTAAAAATAAAATTCACATACTTCTTCAAAGTCGTACTGTTCGACCAAATTTAACACTTCGTTGTTACTGGTTATTCCACCGACGACGTACAAGTGTTTGTCCATTACGGAAACGCCCATCTGACTGCGAGGTACTAACATTGGTGCCAGAACAGACCATTCGCCGGTTACTGGATTGTAACTCAATAGGTCTTGAAGGTGACGTTTAGTGCGAGTACATCCTCCGACGATATAAATTAAACCTATCGGAGGGAATAATAACAGTTAAATAAAAATAAAATGTTAAGCTTAATAGAAAAAAAAAACTCGTTGGTTATAAACCTTCAAATGAAACGACTCCCATACTAAACCGAGGTTCAGGTAGTACACTACTGCACATTGTCCAACGGTTCAACGATGGAGAATAGCTAAATACAAAAATTCATAGTCAATTGCTAAAATAACAGATGAAATAAATTGTTAACCGACATTTCTATAGAGCCTCCGATGTCGTCTCCAACCCATCCTCCGATCGCATATAGATATCCGTTTAAAGCGGCCATCCCAAATTCACATCGGGGAACGGTCATTCCGGCAACAGGAGACCACTGGTCTTCAATAGGGTTGTAACATTCTCCGTTTGACAGGATGAGAGATTCGTTTTCGCCTCCTACAACGTAAATACAGCCATTCAATATTGCCACTCCCGGCATTATTCGTCCTATGTTCATTGGTTTAATGTCGCACCATTCTCTGTTGAATTAAACAATAACACACGAGTGGGATCAGTTTAAAATAATCACTTTCAAATAAACTCTTATATAAATAATTTTTTTAGATAATAAATTGTAGTATTTAATTTTTAAGTATTCCTCAATAAAAACAAAATTGTAACTACAGATTTGTACATTTTTTAAATGTAACGCATGTATTTTATTAACTTTTAAAGTTGAAAATAATTTATTGTACATTTACATAAAAAAAAATCACCAAAAGTATACATCAACACGGGACAATATTGTTTCTTAGTTTTTCTGACCTACAGTTCAAAAACCAAGGCCAAAAAATTCCCCCCCTTCAAAAAAAAAAGTTTCCACCTCCATCTTAGGGGAAGTCATGTGGCCATCAGTTCATTAGTTCTTTAAAAAAAATCTTAGGAAAAAGGTCAACGATATTTTCTTGGTTTTTTATTGAATATCAGTAGAATAGTATCTAAGAAAAATCTCATACAAGTTCAGAACCAATTCAACTATTTTAAAAGATGTTAAAGCGCGCTGTTGAAAGTAAGTATACATTTTTAAGGGGTAGGGATGAACTATTTAAATTTTAGTAATCTAAAGACTTGCCATATGAAGAAGTCTGTATGTCGGATTAAAATATAACTTAATATTCATAAAGGTAGGTATAATAAAGAAGTAAATAAAAGCTTACTTCCTAAAAGTATTGTACTTGACTACGGATTCGAACGTGGACTCTGTATAGCGAGACCAGGCACTGCATATTTCTCTTTTTGATCCGCCTAAAATGTAAATATCTTTTTTCGCTCCTAAGCGCGGTTCGACTTGCAAAGCGACCAGGTTGCCAATACCATCGGCTATATCTGTGTATATAGAACGAAGGGCTACTCTTAAACTGGCATCGGTGTTTTCGTTGATTTCTCGTTCTAAAAATTGGGTACTCATAAGAGGTAGGCGTATACACGAGAGTATTTCAAAAATATAACGACGCCGGTCGGGAAGATCGTTTTTAATCCATTTCATAGCGGCACGAAACACCTAAACATTATAAGTACCCGCAACTCATTAATTTAATTTGTCAAAAATATTAACATTTTATACATGTACAAACATCAATATTTTAATTTTACCTGTTGTTCAGAATCTACGCACAGATATTCACTGTTGAGAAATTTAATAAACTGATCTTTGGTTAGATCTCCCAATTCTTCTTCTTCGCAAATTTGAACAAAGTTACCATAGATGAAGTCTTCAGCTAATTTATGCAAAACTGAAAAATTGTGCATTTCCGCAAATCTGTAGCGGAACGCATTTACTTATTAATTGGACGTTTGTGACAAGAAAAATTATTTCTTAATTAATTACCTTAGGAGACCTATAGCGTTGGATGAATGTATCTCGCTCTTTAAGAACTCTGTACAACAACTAACAGCATCGTTCAATTGTAACATGTCTGCGGCTATCATTAATTCTTCGACATTTTCTTGATAAATGTTAACTTCCCCTAGAACACAATAAATTGACGATGATATAAATTTATAAAAATCATTAATATTTCTTTACCTGTATAAATAAAATTGATTAATATTTCTAGTACACCAGGTGAAACCGATGGTAGTTCGATCGACTTTTTGCCAGCTTCCAATAATCCATTAGTGAACATGGCATAAAAATACGGACTACTAGCCGCCAAAATTGCTTTGTGTGCCTAAATATTAAAAAATTTCATATAAATATTTTTCTATAAAATGAATGTTGAAATTAAAACAATTACGTTAATACAGTAGCCTTTCGACATAAGTTGTATGTCGCAAAAGACATCATTTTTTCGTGAACTATTTAACCCTCTCAACAGAGCTTCAATGTACGTTTTGGAGAGGAATTTGTTGGGTATATCGAAAGGCGCTAAGTTGCATGTGCAACCTATAACTTCTTTGTCATTTTCAGATGGCGCCATTAAGCATGTGTTCTTACACCAATTGACTGTAAAACAATACCAGATAAAAGTGTTTTCAAATATAATTTAACGTGTTTACAATCAAAGTCTTAATAGTTATTACCAAAAGATAACCAGATATAAAAGTTCTATCAATTCATTGAACTTTCAATAAATTAAATTTATTAACTATTTACTTTGTTTGTTTAATAAGTACTATATTGCTTTAAGGGTGTCAATAAATGTCTAATGTTATTATAAACTTTAGAAGAACACACAAGCACGTTTGTTAAATTATGTATATACATGCTACAAAGAAATTGGTTTAACGATTGTCAAAAAATAAAATCACTTAGTAATACATCACTATAAAACCAATTTTTTCTGCCGAAAGTTCTTCTAAATATCTACATAACTTTATTACATATAAACACACAAATGGGCAGTAAACATTTTCTAGTAATATACTAATATTGGACTACTAACCATCATTAATGCCATACTATATGCACTTTAATAGTGGCGATACACATTTGTAAAAAAATTCAAATAAACCCAAATGGGTACATAACGTTAAGGATGTGAAAAAATCAGCTTATTTATTATAATTACAATCAATTTGAAAATTCAAAATGCATAAAACAATGTTTGTTTATATTTTAAATTTTAAATTATACGCCCTAATTATTAGAACTAATTACGAAATACGAATAATAATAATTTACAATATGGTGTAGGCCTGAAACTCAAAAGTTTGGAAAATAGAAATTGGTACAAGACAGTGTGATAAGTGTTATCGTTGTAAAAACAGATGATTCGCTCGGGAACAGCAGCTCGATACCTAGCGGTAGGTGTTGGGAAATTAGAATTTTTTTTTTTAAATCAAATTTTCAATAAAATGTATTTAATATGAAACGTAGCCATCGTCGGTATCGATATTTTAATATTTTACGGGTAGGTTTTGCCGTCGCCGAACGGGTTTGTTTAGGATTTTCGATTTTCCCGTTGTCATGGAAGAAAAGGCACGCCGTTTTTTTCTTCCATGACCGTCAAACGTCATCCGGGGCCGACGGCCGACGGGGGCGATCGCTGGGGCGAACAACGAACGGCACACGTACATTAAAACATGGCCGCTTCACCGTCTTGAAACGACCGTCGTCCGTTTTCCCAACCGATATAATTAAAAACCAAAAAAATAATAGGCATTAACATCAACCAATTCCGCAAGTTTTCACACCGTACCGGTTAGGTTAATCGAAAAACCTCGAAATCGAGTACGCATCAGATTTGGTAAGTATGAAATACCGTTGTTGCGGTATCGGCCCCGTCGATGTGAAAGGTGCTTATTGCCCAGAGTGTGACCCTTGTCCTTCTGTTTGTTTTTACAGTTTTTCTCGCGTCCGTCAGAGATATTCACGCAGACATGTACAACAGCTCTGGTTATCCAATGTGAGTATGATTATCGACTGTAGAATTTTACTTGTCCACGATATATTAATAATAAATAATAATTATGTAATGAGTAACATTATGTCGACAAGTACTCTTTATTGATCTGCTTATTCGGGTCGGGCCGGTGCACAATGAGTGAAAGGTGTCCTCGACACTGAGGTGGCCGCCCGGACCGGCAAAAAATATTGCGGCGTACGTAGACGACATCGATAGGTATACGGCTTGTAACTAGATACGAAATCAATAACAAATTATCGAGCTACGGAATTATTTTAATTTTCAACTGTAGTGATGAATGTAGTCGTAAAAGTCTCTGACGACCCGTTATTTCTTACCACTTTCTAAACATATTACGGTGTACTTCTATATTCCATACATAGTCGGAACTATAGCGTCGTAACTTATAGTGGACATTTTTTTGGTTTGGTGTACTTATTATAAATCATATATGTAATAAACTACCTAATGTGTCCTATCATTGTCCGATTAATTTGCATAGATATTTTAAGACAATTGATAAATTAATTAAAAACATTCACCTCCGCACGTAAAACTCCGGACCGACTCCAGACGCCATGATTTCTGATAAAAGAAAAAAAACAGTCGCATGGAATTCAGTATTGACACAGATAGGCGATGTAAAAAAAAAAAAATGGACATTCTCCTAAAGCTAAATCATTTATAAACGTTTCTCTTGAAATGTACGTAGTGACGATCACAGATCGCTCGACTACTGCCGCGAAGGTGGACGTGCCTACACCTATTTTACATTGACAACAATATAACTTAATCTAGATCAACTTTAATTAATATTTTGTTGACTGTTCATTATAAATAACATTTAAGTTGTAATAGAATTAACATTAAAAAGAAAATTGATTTAAACAACTATTTGATCAATAAACAATTTAACAAAGTTTTGCCACACCAGCCGAATATTCTCGTCATTTCAATCTTCTAATGCTGTAACAACAAAAAATATATAAAACATTTTACATTACTTTGGTAACTTATTTTTTATGTTTATGTACAATTTGAGTACATTGTTGAAAAATGTCATTATTTAAGTACTCGCATTATATTTAAAAAAGAATAGTGATTAAAAACCAATAAAAATTGGCAACCAAAAGTATTAGGTACACTCTTCTCTGTTTACTGGATGTAATTACCTATATACAGCTTATTTCTATAATTATGATGTTTTTCCCTTTGTTTTTCGTTAATAATGAAATAATCTTGTGCCACTTGCTATTGTCTTGTATTCTAAAAATAAAATCTCTATATTATAATGTTACCATTGTGTGCACCTATTACTAAGTGGTTTTAATATAGTTTTAATATAAATGATTATCACATTAATAAATGTTGAAGAACAGAGTATAGAAGTATAGATATAATTTACATTGATAGCCCACGAGCATATAAAATACAACAACCATTATAGTAATAAAATGGACGCAATAATTTACACTCCATGGCCCATCTATGTACATTTTACTTACGATAAAAGTTTTAAATAGAAACAATTTAACATTTAAAATAAATTCAGACAAATTAATTATGTTGGCACCATATGCAAGCGTTTCACATATTTATTTCCCCATAGTTAATGTTGTATATTGTGACAATGTATTTTACGAAATTTTTTGTTCACCATATAGGTATCAACAACGTACACCTCAAAATCAAGGATATGGCAATGTTTTTATGAAATCCCAGAATGGCAACGCAGATTTTGGAGGGGCAATGTTTAAACCTATGAATAAGGCCCCCGGTGAACTATTGAGGAAACCGAACTGGACTCGTGAATCACTTCAACCGTTCAAAAAAGACTTCTACGCTCCACACGTGGACACGGTCAATAGGTTAGAATACAATTTATTTGGTTGTTGTTTTGTGGAACAAATCGTGTAAACAAGTCGATTATAAATTGTAGGAGTCAAGATGATGTAAATTCCTACCGAAATGACAAAGCGATAACTGTTCGCGGCACAAACGTTCCAGACCCGAGTCAATTTTTTATAGAAGGAAATTTCCCAGAAAGCGTCGTTCAAGAGTTGAAGAAACAAGGTTTCTCAGAACCCACCGCTATCCAGGCTCAAGGCTGGCCAATTGCACTCAGTGGTCGCGATCTCGTTGGCATTGCGCAGACCGGTTCAGGCAAAACATTAGCGGTATGTACAAAATCAATTAAACTAACCAAATATACCCGAATAATAATTGTATTTTTTTATGTTCCATTAGTATATGCTGCCAGCTGCCGTTCACATCAGTAACCAAGAACCGCTCCAACGTGGGGATGGACCAATCGCATTGGTGTTGGCGCCGACCCGAGAACTGGCCCAACAAATTCAAAGCGTAGCGAAAATGTTCAGCTCGAGTATAAGAAACACTTGTATTTTTGGCGGTACCCCGAAAGGACCACAGGCTCATGATTTACAAAACGGAGTCGAAATCGTCATTGCCACCCCCGGGCGTTTGATCGATTTCTTAGAACGTGGATCCACTAATTTGAAACGAGTTACGTACTTGGTGCTTGACGAAGCCGACCGTATGTTGGACATGGGATTCGAACCTCAAATTAGGAAAATAATCGAACAGATCAGAGTGAGTAATAATGGTCCAACTCGATAGATCATTTAGATTGATATATTTCTAAACTTTTGATTATTTGTGAATTCAGCCCGACCGACAAGTATTAATGTGGTCCGCCACATGGCCAAAGGAAGTTCAAGCGTTGGCTGCAGATTTCTTAGTGGATTACATCCAAATCAATGTTGGATCTCTGGAACTCGCTGCTAACCACAACATCCAACAGTTCATTGAGGTTTGCGAAGACCACGAAAAGGATTACAAACTGTTTGAGCTACTGATGAAAATATCCATCGAGCCTGGTTTCAAAGCTATTATCTTTGTCGAGAAGAAAAAGAAAGTCGATGAACTGACCAAGCAAATCAGAAACGAAGGGTAATGTCATAACTCATAAGGAACCAATATAGTCGTGAGTCACATGTCATTAAAATGTTTGTTTTGATTTTAGTTATACCGCAACGTCTATGCATGGAGATAAGTCTCAACAAGACAGAGATCATGTTTTAAATGAATTCCGAAATGGAAAGTCTCCCATACTGGTGGCCACCGACGTTGCAGCTCGAGGATTAGGTAATAAATGGTTTAATAAACTGCTAATATTTGAATATTTCTTTTTTACCTTAAATTGTTACAAATTAGAAATTAATAATATGTTAACTAGCTAACTATATCTATAGCCTGCTATGCCGGGAGGGAAGTGTTATCTTGGCATCACTTTTTATAATAATTTGATAAACAACTCGACTCTACTACGTATTATCCACGATGTTCGATCCTGAAAGGAGGGTCCGACTGGTGTTGAATGTTTTAATAATAACTTGATGACTGTTACTAATTGTCTGTTTTGTGCAGAAATTGTATTGATGTTTTACGACGTTAACAGCCGTCTCACCGATGACGAATTTACGAGTAACCTGTTACTGCGATTATTCATTAAATAAAGTTTTTTTATTTATTGTAAATATTAGATTTTAGAAGTAAAGAGAACGAGCTCACCCCATATACTGTCCCTTCTCCCCATATACTTATCTTCTAGGCGAGCTGATTTCCCCTTCCAACTTTGATACGCTAAATACATACAGATGTTAACTTAAATTTATACATTAAAAGGGTCTACGACGATAATGTTAGAAGTAATGCCGTATGTATTCAATATCAAAAGTATGCGGCCAATAAAGATTCACTTACGTTTTTATTTTTAAAACCACTTTTCAAGTAGTCTTTTTTTTTTTCACTTTTTGTGTTCGTTTTTTAAAACTAATTGATTATAATAATTTCTAAAAAAGATAATAACCTATAAGATTTATATAAAAATATCGGCACATAACAACTTTGTTCTTCAAACGTTTTCAATTCTGAAAATATCGTAATGTTAAAATTTGTTCAAATTAAATTATTGTCGATAAAGACTTGCTCGTTTTCTATTATTATTTTCATATGATTAATTTACTGGCATAAACTAAAGTTAATAATTTTTAATTTGTTTACTGTTAAATTGTAAAAAAAAAAACCAATATTCAATATATTATCTTTAAATGAAATTTGCGTAGTGTTTGTAATGTCTAATGGCTGTTTTATCGTTTAGATGTTGATGACGTAAAATATGTTATCAACTTTGACTACCCAAATTCATCAGAAGACTACGTACACAGAATTGGCAGGACTGGTCGTTCCAAACAAGTAGGCATTGCTTACACGTTCTTCTCTTCAAACAACATGCGCCAAGCCAAAGATCTTATTTCTATTTTGGAGGAAGCCCATCAAGTCGTACCTGAAGAACTCATTGAAATGGCCAACATGGCAAAGAATCACATGTCGAGTAAGTTAAAATATATTTAGAATTCTTACATTTTTAAAATGTATTAACGACTTGTGCGACGACATATAAACTTATAGTCGAGTATAGTTGTTGTTATTCTTGATTTTTAAATATGTCGTCATATTATTTATTGTGGGTTTAATTAGCCCTGTTTGTGGCATTACAAATAGGGCCAGTCACCTTCGTACAAAAGAAAACGTAAGATAGTGTAATACATTTTTTTTAATTTATTATAAATTTATGCGGCGACATATAAATTTATAATCGAGTGTAGTTTTGTTATTCTTGATTTTCAAATATGTCGCCATATTATCTATTGTGGGTTTAATTAGCCCTATTAGTGGCATTACAAATAGGGCCAGTCACCTTCGTACAAAAGAAAACGTAATTAGTGCAAAATATCATTAGCCTGAGCATTTATTTATTTAAATAAATGATTATTTAAAATGCACCTTTATTAAACGCATCTAATCATTTTTAAATAATTATGTATTGGAGAATGTATTACCCATATTTATAAAGAAGTTAGGTATAGGCAATTTTTTGCAAAATCTTAATTTAAAGCTTAAATTGTAATGTGTAATTATTAGTTTAGTAATTAAAACTCTTTTTTTCAGTAGTTATTTTTTTTTTGAACTATTACAGCATCATCTATATCAGTGGTTCTAAAAAAAAAATTTATCTAAGCATAGTTATACAGAATGCATTTACTTAGTCCATTGTTGTTTTAGAGCTACAGCAAAGATAACATCTTGGAAACTTGTCGTATCTGATTTTGAAATTAACAATGTGGTAAAAAAAAGTTATAGCTATTTTAAAAATCCTTATTGATTTTTGTTTATAAGTGATTAAAATTTTTGAAAATTAAGCAAAATGTTTTGCGAAATTAGTGTATTTTGTGTAATTGTTTTCATTACTCAATTTTCTGAGATCGCTAAAATATATTTTTCGTGGGTCTAATTAGTCTCATTTGTTATCATCAAATTAGGCCAGTCACCCTCGTACAAATGTTCTCTGTTGGTTGTGTTCTAGTCGTAAAATTTTTGTCATGAATCAACAAATCCTTAATGACTTCAGTTTCGCGTTTCTTTATATAAATTTTTTTGTTGTTTTTAGGTCGCGCTAAATGGACCAACCGCTACCGTGACGTCAACACACCTTTGGCTACTCAAGCTCCGTACGGTCAAGCAAACAATGCCCGGCAGTCCAACCAAAACTACCAAAACGGATCTAGTTATGGCAACGGCTACACTAATTACAACGCCGGAGGTGCCGCTGGCTACAATAATGGTGGAAACTATACCAATGGTCAAAACTACCAAAACAAGAGCTACAACGGCGATAAAAACGCAGGATATCAACCCGGAACTGGCGGTGTTCAACGCAACGTTGTACCTAAATACCAAAACCCGCAGTATCAACCACAATACAACGGTAGTGCTGTCCCGAAATACACTCAAAATCAGGTATGATTAATTGTGTTTTTGATTTTTCTTCTTTACATGAAATTATTATAAAAATAAAAATCACTTTCATAAACATTATGCGGTAATTATACTTGTATTTTATTACACTATTTTTTGGGTTAAGGGAATTTTCGCTGAAACTAGGCTTTTTTTTTGTTTTGATGTTTTACAATCAATGCCGAATTGGACTCGAGACGACAAACGTTTTAATTAGGTAGTTATAATGACTCATATAAAAATAGTCAACTGTTTAGTTTATCGAATTCTGAATCTTGCAAAGTTGATTATAAAAGCTGTTATATTCAATAGTAAGTTGTTGCGATCTGTAAAGCGGCGGGAGAACTACCATTAGTCACTGAAATTGTAAATGATTAACCATCGTTTGTTTACTAATTGCCTGCTACAAAAAAAACTATCTTTGTTGCTCCTAGGAAGGAGTTTTATCAACTTAGATAGATATTTTAAGAATAAGGTTTGCGTAAACTATGTTTCATCTTATTAATTTTTGGACTGGATCTGAGAATTTTTATCCTGCCATACAGTTTTGCCTGTATTAAAGTAAATAACGAGAAGCCGTCTTATAGTTGACACCGAACAGACGTCCGACGAATTGTAAAAATCTATGAAATTGAAAAATAATATCGTACCAACCGATATGATATGTCTTTGTGCTTGCTGATGATACTATTTGTTTTTGTTTACAGCCAAACACCGTGGGTTACAATCGCAGTCAAAACACGTATGCCAACAATCCTCGCACCAACTACCAGCCCAATCGTTACAACCAACAACGTCAGTTCTCCAACATGACTGACATGTATGCCAACGCTCTACCTCCGCAGTACATGATGAATAACGCCGCAGACGCTTCTATTCAACCTTTGCTCGCCCACAAGTTCTTCCAACAGAACCGTCCCCCGCCAGCCGCCACTCAAGAAGCGTTCCAAAACGGTTTTGCCGCCGTACCCCAACCTGGTTATCAGTACTACGGGCAGCCGCAGACAGTACAACAATAAAACTATAATTAATATAAAATTTAAAAAAACCTATATTTAACGATTGTGACTTCTTATCAAATAATTTTTGGATTTAGGGGATAATTTTTTTTTCTTCCAGTGTTTAATTGCAAATCGAAGTCACATTCCAAGTTTAATTAATAAAGTTAACTTTATTGCTAATATTATACCTATATTATATAATCTAATACTTTCTTTTTTGAAATGCACAGAAAACTTGAAACATCCAGAAGAAATGCATAATATATTGACAAAACATGGTTACTGCCTAACCTTAAATAAAATATTTAAACTAGTCTTTAAAAAGTATAAAAAATATGTGTTTTATACAAAATATTTAGACGATTTGAATGAGTTCCTTTTTTCTTTTTTTTGCCAAGGGTCAATTTTTTATAACAAGTCCATGTAAATTGTATAAAACTCGATAAAATTAACATTATGATATTAATTTTTATTTGTCTATTAATTTATATTGTAAAAAAAAAAAATAATAATAATACTCGATCTGTGATATTTGTTAAATGATGTATAGCGCGAAGTTCCCTAATTTAGATTTTAAGGGATTTATATTAAACGAATATAAATTAAAAGAAAAATGTTTTAAGACACGTTTTTCTGTGGCATCTTTAACAAATCTGGGGGAAATGGAAAGACTGATATGAAAACAATTTCGTATTTCTATTTATTTATAAATGCGGAAAGCTACTAGTTTTGTGTAGTGGTGCAATATATAATGTCGACCAATAAAATGTCTCGGATTTTTTTTTTCTCCAACTAAATCATATTGTGTATCATATTGTTATTTTATTGAGATGTTTTCTTTTTATTATTATTATTATTATTCTTTTTTTTCTTTTTTTTTTTTATAATAGTGATCAAAAAAGTTTTAAGGTTTATATAGTATTAATGTGTAAGTTAAATATTTTTGTTTGTTTTTTTTTTTTTTGTATAAGCTAATATGTGACCCTATTTGTCGATACGAAATAATGGCGTTTGTTTAGAACTAAACGCATAATAATATTAAAGGATCTTCTGTAAGTTTCTACATTAAAGTGCATTTCTTTTATTCAAACAATACATTGTTATTTATTTATATATATTGTGTACCAACAAATTATATTCTACGCCATCCTAGTGTTGCTGTATTTCGTTTCAGTCGTATTATATTCCAAGTCACAATTGTCGGTTGAAACGTAATACTTTTGTGATCATTTGCATCAATCTACAGGTAAATCTTGTTAAAGTCTTTTTGAGACATACAAGGAGAAAGCAGTCCTGACTAATGTTACACATCATTAATTATTTAACATCATAACACCCAAATGGAAGATATATTAAGTTAAACGTTAAACACGCTAACATTTTTTATGCGTAAGATGAATCGTCCAAGATGTCTTTATAAAAATAAAATTTTGCTTATGTTAACTATAAATACAAATTAAGAAAAACATACAACAGTGTAAATCAACACGAATTAGTTTCTCTATAAATTAAACTATGAATTTATTTAACCTCCCCCCAAATTACTTGAAGGGTAAAACTTATTTCCTAATAACTTGAATGTTAAACATTTTTGAGTGTTACCCTGGCCTAAGTTCGAAAACAAATGTATGGCAGTAAAACCCGACTTGGACCGGCCAAATAAACTAAATTTCGATTTTTACATGATTATTATTTAAATATGTACGTATTAACGTGTTCTGATAAAATTAATTGAAAATATATCATTCAAAATTACTGGCCCGGGTTTTTTTTATTATTAATATACAGAATTATGTACTATCCAGTCTCCACTGAGCGACCGCGCAGCAAGAGTCATGACCACTCTGGTAACTGGTTAACCAAACTTAACCGATTACCGTATACCGCAAGTCCATGAGAAATGACATCAAAATATCAACACACGGCTGTCAAGTGACAGGTCTCATTGGTTTCGGTCGGCCACGTTGAGATTATATTCGTTTGATGCGAGCCCAACTCGAGAGTCGGGCGTTAGAAAAATTAATTATCTAGACTCCTTTGAGTGCTCCCCTCCACGGAAATCTTTAGTAAAAGGCGAAAGATTTATTCGTATTGAAAGGGAACCGGAGTTGATCGAAGAGCCGGCGGCCACCGTTACTTATGCCGTGACCGCGGCGGTCGACCCGCTCAGTGAACGGACCCTCGACCCAGTGCGATTTGGCCGGACCCGATGCCAGGAACTTGTGCTGGCCGACCATCGACCGACTCGAAGGACTTGAGAGAACCCACGGACATTGAAAATTCCGCAGTAAGCAGCTTTTCTAAAGTTAACAGCCGGAATTTTGACCGCAGTCACCGGACGGTTTATGAGGAAACGTCGAAAACCGCCATCTACCGGCACCGCGGACCGACACGGACTTGTACGGTAACCGGTGTGTTTTTCACAACCAAACCGCCGTCGTTTCTTCAAACAACAATATTATTGTTTATTTGCAAAAAGAAAGCGACACACACGTTCGACAGCTCCGGACCGGATTTTGTAGCCGATTACTTATATCGGGTCTTGGTCTTGTCTAATTTATTATCATAGCACCGTCCGAAGCGGATGGAGGAAACCTAAGACGGTCAAACGCACGACCGACGCCCCATCTCTCGGACAGCGTTGACGGTTAGCGTATTCGGTAAAAAATGGTAAATATTGCTGTAATACTAAGAAAGTCTACAGTCCACATGGAAATAAGCTGGCAAGGTTGTTGGATAATACCGCAGAACAAAATATGAAATCAGAAAGGACAATTTCAATGTAAACAAAATCGCGGCGGCCATGTTCTAAACCTGCTATAATCATAATAAATTATTTATCTATACACAAGTAAAAAACATTTTGTATAGCTATAATTTATTACGATTATACCTGGTTTAGAACCTGGCCGCTTCGTCTTGGTGTGATAAGTAACACCAAAACGATTTCTTCGTGTAGGTACTGTATAAATAAAAAAATATAATATTGTAAGGTACTTTATTGGACGAAAAATGTAAAATGTTCCTCCCTTCCCCTTCGAAATCGATAAAAACACCCATGGTTGCTTTTATTATTTTATTTTTGAACTATGAAAACACAAGTGTTTCTTATGTTTTTTTTTTTAAGTTTTAAAAGATTATAATACCTAATGATTTACAAAATAATATTGTCTTTGGCGCCGATGCTAAAACTAAATCTTTTGTTTTCCCAACCAACGTCCGTATTTTTGTGATGATTGTTGTTTTATCGAACCACACAGTTGCAGCTTTAGCATGACGTAAAACAATTTTCAAGTGTTTGAATGGCCTTAATTGTATTGTATTGAAAAAAACATTTTCATATACAAATGATGTATATATTTTTCTATAGCAAACTATGCCTTAGCCATAGGCTTAGTTAAATAGGTAATAATGTTATTTGTTATCCGCTGCTTATGTACAAATAAATGACCAAAAACGACATACATATATTATGTAGACAGACTTCGATTACCTATACATAATAAAATGATATGGTTACCTAATTTTACCTATTTACCGTTACCACTTGTTTGATAAATTATATTTAATAAAAATCTATTATCATTATAGAATGTATTGTTAGTAATGTGTATATACTGTTCATCTTTTAACATTTTCAACAATTAATAGTACACAAGTGGGGTAAAAAATTGAACATATACTTCAAGTTATAAAGTTTAAGCGGAATTTTTGTCGTGCAAATATTAAGCAACCAAGTTCAAAAAACACATAACAATTTTGTCAAAATATGAAGAAATAGAATCGACATAGAAAGAATAACACAATAGGATAAATCTGGCCAAATGGCAAAACATATATTTTATGTATTAATATAGTAATTAAGTTTTAAAAATCACAAAAGTACAACAATACAACATAAATATAGGTAACCAAAATGTTGAATGATGTATAATATATAATTGTCATTAATAAAACAATAATAAACCATCGCCTTTTAAGATAACATTGTAATAACAATTATTTAGAAATAAAGTTGAAAAAATACCTATAAAATCGTTGTATTCGTTTAAACTTCCAGCAAACGAGCAAACTGGTTTTGCGCATTACCGTTCTCTCGTGGGACAGTATAAAAGTTCTTACCGAGTTTTTTATCATTTATAATGTCGCACCATTCGTTGTCGCTTTTTTCCACGAACATGTTCTCGTATGACACGAATGTATTCCAATTTACAACAATCTCGTAATCTTTTTTATATTCGCCCAATTTTTCAACATACTTTTCTATAGTGGCGGTATTGGTATTCAGCGCATCGATGACTTTATTGCAATCTTTTTCAGTTTCCAACTTCATCGAGTGATCTTTGCCGAGGAAATTCAATCCATTTAATAGCATAGGGCTGGAACAACGGCTGAAAACAGTTTCTATCCATTCCGGGCGATCTTTTTGTACGCTTTCTTTCCGTGGGTATTTGATCAAGTTGTTCAACTCAACGAGGGTAATGTTCAAGTGTCTTTGCACTTTTTCCGGTAAAATCTTTAGCTGGATGAATTTGGCAAATGCCCGATGGACGCGGTTGCCCAAATCTTTGATTTCTTGTTCGCAGATCTTGGCTTTGGTCGGTGCGTTAGACATGTTTATCACCAACAACACATACGAACCGACCACCGTCAACATGGGGTGTGCCGAGGCCGCCAAAACTTGTTGCTGAAAAGTCTTAAGACATTTGACGTCGATCAAGCGTTGTACCATCTCGAACAGATCTGCTATGGTTGCATGGTTTCCGTTTTCGAGTTTTGCGTTCAGAGTGACGTTCAGAAATAACCTGTAATCCAGTTCGTGGACCTGACGTAACCAATCGTCACTAGACATCATATCGACATTTTCCGAGATTTTCTTTTGGTCGACCGACAACAGGTGGCAGAAGAACATATTTCTGGGATGAAAATTCGATAATTCGTCTTTTTTCCCCTCGACGACGTCGTTTATTACCCCAAAAATGTGTTTCGCCTCCAGGATGCTGTTGTTAAGGTAATCCATCTGTTGTTTCAAACTTTCCATATTCATTTTGCAATTATAGTCTGAATAATTATTCGGAAACAAATCGTTAAGTCCATCATAGCGGACACCTTTCTTCGATTTCGGATCAACCCCCAAATGGTACTTGGTTAACGAATTTTTCGCAATTACAATATCTACATTACAGCAATATTTCCTATCATACATGGGTGTGGGGCAAATTTTATTAATACTTTTCCTGATGACGTCGAGAATTTCAGTATAGCTTTGTATAAATTCGTCTTTATAGAACAGATTGCGCTGAGTATTTTCAAATATACATACACCGTCGAATTGACTTACCAACAACGTTTCCAGGACGTTATTCAAGTATAAATTTATCGTCATCAAATCTTCTGGCAGACCGTAATTTGTTTTGTCACTATTAAGTTCTTCGAGCATTACCAAGACGGTTTCGCCCAAGCTTTGTTGTAGATAAAGACCGTGCAACTTTAAATCTTCAATAGAAAATGTACTTTTATCAGCGGCAAAGGACTTTTTGAAAGAAGTTTCATTAATATGAAAAAAATACAACATGAGCTTGGAGATATAACATTGTTTTACATTATAATTTTCGTTTGTTTTAACGTACGAATTGAGGCATATAAGTAAAATTAAACTGGTGTACCACAGCATGTTGAAGATTTTCTAGTAAAAACAGCTATACAAATTAGTGAATTATTTTAAAACGTATTGTTCTAACGTCTTTCTTTGGTGTTGATGCTAAAACTAAAATCTTTTTTTCCACTGTCTGTGAACGTTGTTTTATCGAACCTCACCTTTGCAGCTTTTGCATGACGTAAAACAAACGTTAGGTGTTAATATGACGTTATATGTTTCTTTAGCAAACTAATGCTTAGGCCATACGCTTCGATAGGTAACATTTTAGACCGCCTAAAGAAATAATTTATTATGTTTAGTAGTACAAATAAACGACCAATGACGGCATATACGTAGGGACACTGTAAATATGCATAATAAAATATTATAGTCGCCAATTTTTAACTATACCCGTTGAGAGATGCTGGTTGAATTATTACAATAGAAATAATACTAACGCATGTGAAAATTCGTAAAATTTGGTTTTTAAAAAAAATAAACATTAAATGGTATAATTTAACATGATTGTTTGAAATTTACCGTACCACACCGCTACACGCAGAGGCGGACTGGAGTAAATATCAGCCCATTAATTACTTTTAATCTAGCACACGCACCAATTAGGTTATTTATTTGATGTTTAATGCTAAAATAAATTAAGGGCCCAAATTCTCTATGTTAAGTTACTTTTGGCCGGATCATATAAACAATTATACTATAATAAAAAAAAAATATTCCATGGAGCTTCCAGGTACAGCATAAGGGCAAGGAGATTAAAAAAAATTACAAGGAGGAAATAAACTATAGACAATCGAGTGTCATTTTTATATGATCTAGCTAAAAAGTTTTTGTGTAGTAACTAACGCATGTGAAAATTCGTAAAATTTGGTTGTATACATTTTTTTTTAAAAATAAACCCTAAAAGGTTTAATTTTACATAATTGTTCGAAATTTACCGTAACGCAACGCTACACGCAGGGGCAGACTTGGGTAAAATATCAGCCTATTAATTAATTTTAAACTAGCCCACGCACCAATTAGGTTATTTATTTGATGTTTAATCTTGTCGTTTAGTGGTCTTCAAGAAGGGGGGGGGGGTTATGGCTAGACATCATAATCTTCCATCTAGAGAATTTGGTTTTGTAAATTTTCAACTGTTATATCATACTTATTCTAAAGAACAAACACTGATATTATACTGATGACATAATGTTTTAGGTATTCGAATTACTATTCTAAGTGCTTTTAAGCGCGTTGCTGGTGCTGAAAGATGCAATGTCGCAAACTATGGGCAATATTGGAATTTTGAATAAGTCAATTAAAAAAAAAAAAAAATCAAATTGGCTTTTACTAATAAAAACAATAAAATTACTAAAAATAATACCTCGAGGCTTATGAAAAATAATTAACAAACATGGTCGAAATTTATTAAAACCACTTTTTTTGTCAGACTATTATAGTCATTTCTATAAGGATAAAATGTGTTTTCTCATTTTAACTGCTTTGCGGGGCAGGGGAAGGCAAGTGTGTGAGGCCAGTAATAAGAGTAGTAACAACCAAATTTTCACAATGTATAGGGTAGAACTTTATCTATACCATAGAGTTTTTTATTTTGTCGATATCTTTACTTCATATTTTTTTTTTACAAAAATACTCTATAATTACATTGTTTTGCTCCCCCGAACACCTACTATGAAAAAAGTCGCTTGCGCCAAACAGCTTTTAAACGTAAAATGTTTTATTATTGATACAGTCTTTGAACAATAATTATATGTATTTACTTTTTTAACACTTAACAGATAATTAGACTTAACAACGACTAGCTTTAGAGTTATCAAAAAAAAAAAAAAGGTTTTAGTTGAATGTTTAGTGTTTACCAAACAAATATTATGCATACCCTAACATATTTACCTGGACTGGCATTATTAAAAAAAACAAAGTCGTTGCTAACACTGACTAGCTAACCAAACATTAAACACATTTTGCGAATTTACTTATGTCGGTTGAAATGCTAACAATTTATTAATTTCTTATTTCGGTCGAGGTATAGGCTTATCCCCTTTGATATTATTACTTATTTGAATTAAATGACTAGATTGTACTTTTCTAGTTAGAGTCAAAAACGAAATTTTCATATTTATTTATGAGATTTTTGCAAATTGTAAAAGTACAACATGATTTATAATTACTCGCAAAACGTAAAGTGTAAACATATGTATAAACAATACTTCAGCAAGTAGGGCAACCAAGTTTTAAAAATATCTCGTTCTGTTGTGAACGCTGATTATGTATATCATGTTTTATTTTTTAGTTATAAAAAAGCACAAGTATTTATTAGGGATTTTAGAAATATTCAACATTGAAAAAAACAATACAATATTATGATAAATATGACCAACACTAGAACTATACATATAAAGTAAACTTTGAATAATGTATAAAATAAGAATAAATCCACACTTTTTAAGAAAACAATGTAATGACAATTATTTAGAAAGAATTAATTGCATTTAATATTCTAGAAAAACCCGTTAAGACTTACAAGAAACTAAAAATATATAGAAAATTTCTACAATTCTAGAAGTATTTTTAGTTTGTTGTAACTTGTAAATCAGTTATTGGCGAATTAAAAATCATAGTAGCTTTGCGTAAATTTTTACAAGTGGTCTGACGAATTTGCTTAGAATATTTAAATGTAGTTAATTCATTAAAAAAAAAATTGAATTCGTTTAAACTTTCAGCAAAAGATCATCATGGTTTTCTTGTGATTGGCAGCATTCTTTGTCTTCGGACATAATAATGCTATAACCTAAAACAAAATAATACAATTTGTTTTTATTATTCGCACAAAGACTTAAAAGTGTAATAATATATGTTGGAAGCCAATTGAATGTCAATATTATATAATTAGTTACATTTTTTACAGCTGAAGTTTTAAAGTATGCAGTGTCTCGTTTTTCACAAGTATGTATAGCCGCTATTTAGGGGGAGGAGTTTAGACGTTTATTATCACTTATAATTTTGAAAATAGCACCCCAAAAATATGAATCTTTCATAGTACGCGTATATTGAAGTGATGGGGTTTTCTATAATATTTCCAGTTTTAGAGCACCTTTGCTGATTTTAGCGAAATTCTAGCGCCCCTTCCAGTATATAAAATCACTATTGTAAGTAAATTATCATATTATACTCTGTCACACGAGAGAGCGGTAATGGACAGAAACCACTTGGCATTACTCCTGTTTAGTTTTATCTGCGCAGGCGCACACAAAAGTTTCCGCGCGGTAGCGTTCTCTCGTGGGACGGAGTATAAGTACTTACCACATTTATTATTCTTTACAATGTCGCAGTATTTTTCGTCGCCGCTGTTTTTCTGGAACATGTTTTCGTATGACACGAATGTATTCCAATTTACAACAACGTCGTACAATTTTTTGTAGTTGCCCAATTTTCCAACGTACTTTTTAATAGTGGCGGTAGTGTTTTTTAGCGCACCGATGACATTGTTGCAATCTTTTTCAGTTTCCAAGTTCATCGTGTGATCATGGCGGAGGAAATTCAATTTGTTAAATACCATCGGGTTGGAGCAACGTCTGAAAACCGTGTCGATCCATTCCGGGCGAGCTTTTTGTAGGTTTTCTTTCCGCGGGCAATTGATCAGGTTATTGAATTCCTCGCGGGTAATGCTCAAATGTCTTTGCACTTTTTCCGGTAAAATTTTTAGCTGGATGAATTTGTCGAATACCTGAAGGACGGAAGTACCCAAATCTTTGATTTCCGAATCTTTGTCAGTCGCGTTAGACATGTTTTTCACCAAAAGCAAATACTCACCGACCAACTTCAACAAGGGGTGTACCGTGGCCGCCAAGACTTGTTGCTGATACGTGATAAGACAATTGACGTCGAACACGCGTTTCATCATCTCGAACAGATCAGCTATGGTTGCAAGGTTTCCGTCTTCGAGTTGTGCGTCCAGTGTGACGTTCAGAAGTAACTTGTATTCCGGTTCGCTCGCCTCACCGGTTAGCAAATCGAGGTCGGCATTTTCCACGATTTTCCTTTGGTCGTCAGACAACAGGTCGTAGAACAACATTGTTCTGGGATGAAAATTCGATAATGTGCTGTCTTTTCTCCCGACGACGTGCATCGCCTCCAAGGTGCTGTCGTGGACGTGTTCCATCTGTTGTTTCACAATGTCCTTGTTTACGCGATACTCAATGGGTTTTTTTAAACTATTCGGCAACAAATCGTTGAGCTCATCGTAGTGGACGCCTTCCGCCGATTTCGGATCAACTTGCGAATGGTACTTGGTTAACGAATTTTTCTGAACCGTAGATTCCATATCGCTATACTTTCGGGGGCATATTTTATTGATACTTTTCATGATGACAGTGATAATTTCACTATAGATTTTTTCAAGTTCTTTTTTATAGTACACATTGAATTGGTCACCTGCTATTATGCATTTCCCGTCGAATTTTCTTACCAACAACGTTCCCAGGACGTTGTTCAAGTATAAATTTATCGTCATCAAATCTTCTGGCAGACCGCAATTGTTTTTTTCACGATTAAGTTCATCGAGCATTGCCAGGACGGTTTCGCCCAGACTTCGTTGTAGATAATCGCCGTGAATTTTCAAATCTTCCTCGGTAAATGAATTTTTACTGTTGTCAAATGAGCGTGTGAAAGAAATGTCATTAATATAAAAAAAGTAAAGCATGAACTTGGAGTAATAACATTGTGTTATATTAATATTTTCGTTTGTTATAACGTACGAGCTGAGGCTTATTAGTAAAATTAAACTGGCGTACATTAGCATGGTAAAGATTTTTTAACGAAAACAGCGACACAAATTGGTTGTAAATTATTTGATTACGATTAAGATGTATTACTTTGACATTGGTGCAAAAACTAAATATCTTTTTCCTTAATAACTGCGTGTTATGAAAATTTATTTATCGAATTACACCTTTGAAGCTTTTGTAAGACGTAAAACAAATGTCAGGTGTCAATATGACGTGTTTATGTTTCTATAGCAAACGAATGCCTTAGCCTACGCGTAGATATTAATAATAGAATATTTTTGCACACCTAAGGAAATAATTTGTTATGTACAGTAGTACAAATAAACGACATATACGTAGATAGACTGACAATATGGCATATGCATCATCAAAAATAAATACATACAAAATAAAAATAAAATGTTCTTTAATAATTATACGACTACTCTTAATCGTGTATGTGCTGATCAATGCTTATCAGTTAGCAGTGAGATTATTTTATGTCTGTATAGTATTCAATATCATTATACTGTTACTGTTGAGCTGTCTACGTCTAACTATACGTCATTTCCCGGCTGCCAAGTAACTATTTTTTTGTAAAATGGAATCATGGCGTTAATATATTGTACAATAATATAATACAGTACGTATACTGGAGTTTGGTCGTCACGCATTCTAAGTGTGCATGTTTGTTGTAAACCAAAATGGAGGTACTGACAAATGACGTGTACTGTAAATGATGTATGACACTCGAGATTTGAATTGGAAAAGAAAAACTTCGCAGTTTAGTGAAAATTCAGTATCGAGACTAGTTGCAGATCGCCAAAGAAATGATGCTTTCAATATTATCACCAACAACGTTCGTCTTGAGCCTAGTGGCCTTGTTAAGCTTGATGGCCTCGTTGAGCACCACACCGGTACTGTCCCTGGAAACCGGCTACACTTATGGAACGGAGGAAAACCCGACGGAGGGAGACCTGTGCAGAGATTTGAAATGCACGTATCTGTGTTCTGGCCTGACGCACGTGCGTTTGGTGAAACTTTTGTTAGAAGACAAACGCTCTTTGACCAAAACCGTGGCCAATCTGACGTACCGCAACCAAATCCACGGGGCGATATGCACGCTATACGACGTGAAAAATACGTGGAAATCGGCTCGTTGTAGTTGCTACTGTTGTACGTGAACACGGTGCAGTCTTGTTACGAACAATATGTCGTCGACAACGCACGCGAAGCCGATGATTGTCATTATATAGATAGACTGACGGCCATTAACAATTACGTGGTGGACAAAATGCAAGAAGAACTGTCAGTCGCCGGTTGTAGATCAGAAAACCGGTTGGACACGTTCGAAAACTGGTACGTGGAGAAGGCAGCCGCCATGCCGAGCGGCAAACCCAATTTGAATGACACCGAAAATGAGGTATTAAACAACTGCAACGAGCTGATTAAGACTTTTGGACGCGAACAACGCGGAATCAACGTACGGTACGCGGTACAGAGCGTTAAAGCCCAGAGTGCTGTTCTTTAACGGCCTGGGCAAGAATACAGTGGTGTTGGGCAAGCTGATGGACGGGTACGACGTGCAAATCAACTGGTTCGGCACGGCCAAAATGCTAGAAGACAACTTACAGTACGCACACAAAAATGAACTCCTCGGCCGTTTTACTACACCCCTTGTTAAGCATCAAGAACTATTTCAAAGCGGTCGTCTGTCTGTTTAAAGCCATCATGTACCGGCATACGTGGACATTTTTGTTGTACCTCGATGAGTGTGCGGGTCGATGGCGACAAAATTGTATTAAGACACGGCGCAAATTTCTGGTGGATTTTCAAAAACTGTTATGCCTTCAAGACGATCCGGAAACCAAGAGTTTGCTGGACGCGCTTGTTCGCCTCGACTGCAACAAATTAGTCACAAACGAAATTATTGAGGGGGCTCACGCTTAAGCTGCACGAGTTTAACGTTACTCTCATATGCGAGGCCACCAACCAGATGACGCTGCAACCGGGCCAAGGGGCAATCGGCCAAGATAGCTTGCAAAACGCAAAGGATTTCATCGCCAAATTGGGTAAGGTTCTCCAAAATGTCGATTTTGGTGTTATCCTATCGATCATGAAGTACATAGACGACCATGCTACATGGTAAAGGTTGTGTGTAGTAGGTAATATTGTAATAATGTGTTGTATTATCGGGTAATGTTATATTGTCACGAACTTGACAAGACATTTTCGGTAACTTAATAATATTAACAACCAATGTAAAAATCTATTCGAATCATTTGCCAACCGCGTAAAACTTGTTACCTATTTATTAAACATGTTTAACATTATTTAAAAAAAATATATTTTAAAAACCTACGACGTTGCTGTACACTTCTATTCTAAAATAATAATAAATAAAAAATGTTCATTGTCCACAAATTACTATTGTCTTATAACTTTCCATGTGGTATGGCAATAACCCATCGAAACGTGTAACAGGGACAACAATAGAAAAATAAGTATTTATTATTTATTTTTCTAGTTTTTAGCAATTATTAGTATATAAATAGGATTAAAAATAATGTTTATACATTTCAAAATATAAAGTTTAAAATAACGTTTTATTGAGCAAACCAAGTTTAAGAACAAACTCAGTTTGTTGGGAGCGCTTTTGAAAATATTTTTTGTGGTGTTTAGGTGTTTTAATATATTTTTTTATACCTATATATAAACACAAATGTTGCTAAGCAAGTGACGAAATATATATATTTTGTATTAATTTAGTAATTTAGTTTTAAAAATCATATAAGTACAACAATACAACTATATTATAAAAACATTGAATAATGTATATTATTATAGTTTTAGTTAATAAAAAACTAAAAAACCATTACCTTTTTCAGAGAATATTCCTTGACATCCATTTTAAATAACCCTAATCGTTTCTACCTTTTTACTTAAAATACATTCTTAAGCATATAAATGTCTAAAAGATTGTACATGATCTTATCGATATTTGTATTTCTACCATTTGTAGCCTTCAGCTCATTACTCAGATGTTGAAAAAATGTACTTTATTGTGTTAAAAAACAGCAATAATTTTTTTTCTAGGTAATATTTTTCAAAAAAGATATTTTTATTTTTTTAATATTACAATTCAGTTAGCTAATGATTATATTTAACTAATAAATCTTGAAAATAGTTTACATCAAAATGAGTAATAGAAAAAGTATTAACATTTTAATGTGATTATTTATTTTATTGAAATTCGCGGTTATGACAAAATTTACAAATGGGTTATTATAATAACAATATTGTTTTAATTATTATGAATTTGTATTATTATGGTAATTATTAGACTACAAGTAGTCAAAATCTATCCTCTCTGTAAACTTTCCAGTATGATTTCGTCCATATATTCTATGAGTAGCTGAATGAGACTAAAGTCGACATCTTTGAACACCCGATCGAGATGAAGAAAAAATATCCTAGTTTTTCCTAAACTGTTGTACTCAATCGGCACAGGGCTAGTTGTATTCAACAAACTTATTATATCAGCATCCGTCGATCTTGCATAAGATATCTCAAATTGTTTACTGTCTATATTAAATGGGTCGATGACCTTAAATCCGATAGGCAGACAAAGCGAATTCAAAATGTCTACTACGGAGCTAACCACACTATCTATTTTCTCTGTTCCATTTAAGAGATTATCGATGGAAGTAAGCAAGCTTTTTACGTGTAGGTCATTGGTCAAGTTTAACTTACTATTGAAATGTTCGACCAAGTCGTACCATTGGTGCGTGTAATACATGTAGTGTTCCGAACCAGCTGAATATTGCCGTAGATATGTCATGTGTATTAACGTCAGCCGAAACATGATGACTTTTAGAATCGAATAGTTCAACGTATAGTATGATTTTATATTTTGAAGTTTGTCGGTGGCCCAATCTAGTGTATGCGCATCATCATAAGATTTTTCCAATCGTACTTTGGTAATGTCTGTCCAGTCCACTTGCTCCTTGAATACTTTCATTAAATCATATTTGTTCATAAAAAGATTTCTCATAATTATTGTCTCAAGAAACTTATCATTAAATGATCTAGTACAAATTTTGTTTTTTTGCAGCAGTTGTCTGGCCATATTATCGTTTCTGTGCACCGTATCTTTTAACTGAACTCGTGCCGGATGAGATTTTAAGAAGATAACCATTAATTCGAACTTATCATAATAATTACCTTTACGGCATCCTTTTAGGTCATCAATCAGTTTGTCGAGGACAAACTCGTGTGTGGCCACAAGTTTCTGATAGTGTGCCGGTGTATCCTTTGATTTTTCAGCAAAACCATGTACTAAATTCGTGTACAAATGTAGTAGCCACAAGGATCCCATATACCTTATTTCTAAACTGTACAATGAAGCTATCTGGAATCTAGGAACTTTTTTGTAATAACTTTCGTCACCGGCCGTCAGTGCTGTGGGCGTATTATATACAGGGGCCATAAGAAAACGGGTTAGCAACATGTGTGTCACTCCAGTAAACAGGTACGCGCTTTCCAAATCGTTATAAAGACGAGCATTTTCGATAATTTTATTTCTGGGGTATTTGTACCCGGTTTCCAATAAGTGTACTGAATGGCAAATGAACAGCACCAAACAAAATACAATGTTCTTGGGTATTGCGGATCGAACCATAGTTCTGTGTAAAATTATATTACTCGGTCGAAATAATTCTGGTTTGCTTGATACTTTTTGAGGTAACGTTATATTGCCATTGAAAAAATATGAATGTAATCGGATAATAATGTATTAGTTTTGCAAAAATTTAACGATTCGATTGTTAAACGGTCGTGTTGTTGTGGCATTACTTTGAAGAAACAATTGTTTTTTTTATGTTTGTTCAGACCACATTTTGTTATTTTAACAAAATAAGAATTTTGCGTGTTGCAAATCCTAAATGAAATGTATTTCGTTTTAAGTTTTTTTGGTTTCCTAAGTCTGGTACAATTGTATATTTTTGCGTTTTTTAATTTATTAGATAAAATATTTTCGCTTGTGTGTAGTTTTTATAAAACAAATGTAAAAGGTTCTTTCGTTGATCGACTAAAAAAAAAACATCATCATAGTAAAAGATTATTTTTTTTTGGTTTTAACCGGCACTAAAAAAGACCCCCCGTCCTAATGTACTCTGTCCACAGTATATAAGATTCTATTTGTCATCTTAAATTTTTTAAATCTTATTGTAACCATACATAACATGGTCACACTGTAACTG